ATTAATAAATTTATATTCTAAATTAAGTTAAATTTATTAACATTTTATTTCTTTCATATCCAATTGTAAATAATAAAAGATCACTAGAAACAGTAGTGAAGAATCTTGTTTAAATATATAGAATATTCATTAAAGTTTTATTCAGATTGTCAGATAAAAACTTTCGATGAAGTTAGCTCTAAAGTGTCCATCAAAAGTCAGGGACGAGTTTGCTAAAGTACCCTTCACGAGCGCTGATCTTTCTATTGAATTAAATTCAATTACAATCGCTCTGATGTGACCAATGTGATCAAGGTTTAATTTGAAAAAAGAAACATCACCTTTTAAAAATTAATACAATTATTATAAAAAATTTTACAACAAAAATTGATCAAGCAATACAATTAAAGAAATGTCATATCATCCTATATTTCGACATATTATTAAATGTTATTAAATGTTTTCGTGTAAAATTGCGTTATCTTATTATTGAGAGTCATTTTATATAAAAGTGACATAATTCTTACGGTAGACATTATCACGCAAAAATTTACATATAACGACAACATGATAAGACAATGCCTTATTATCGGAAACCAGCATACGGAAACATTGGTCGCACGATCACGTATCTGTTTTCAACGAGAAAAATTTCCGGTATGCAAAAATAACATTATATGCGGTTTATTTTATATTTATATATATATATCTTATATAAGAAAATTACAATATTTAATAAGAATTTTATATATATAAAATGTATCTCGTAAATCTAATTGTATTTTAATTTTTAGTACTCAAAATTAATTTTTCCCTAAGGAAACATCGATTTTAGATTTTTTCTAAAAAAAAAAAGAGATGAATTAAAGAAAAATCGAATATCATTTATTATTTAATAAAACTGTTAAACATATGAAAGGGAATGAAAGAATGTAAAGTGATTAAGAAATATTATAGATAGTTTGATCATTAATCAAATCAGACTGGTCTTGTTTATCCCTTTATGGGTATAACGCTCAAGAATTCGCTACTGCACTTTTCCGGTATTTGAAGATAAATGAAATCATATCGCAAAATAATGCAGTTCATTAACCGCAGTCGAGATAAGTCAGTGAGATAACAAATTGTGTCATAAATTATACTGCTCTTTCAATGTTGACATTCCATTAATTATAAATCTATTACATTATCGTTCTTCATTTCCATCTTATAGTTTATTACATTCATTAATTTTGCAACTAATCTTGTTTGTCGATATTAATTAATAGAAAATGTTGAAAAGGTATCAGAGAGAGCAAAAGAGAACAAAAGAATTATAATAGTATTTCATTCTTTTTATTTTTAATTTTACTCATATCAAATATTCAATTCTTTCATCAATTTTTTAGTATTGTAACAAATTTATAACCGTAAATATTATAATCATCATGTAATTATTGTAATAATATAGCACAATACAAAGTTGACACAGTCTATTTAAATTTCTACTAATGGTGAGTTTACATTTAAAGGACGAGTGAGAGAAACGCAGAAATTTATTAAATTTTAATAGTAGAATAATTATATAAAGCATTTACTATATAAGTAAATTGACAACATTCTGTTTAAGTCAACCGTTAGTTCAATGAATACCTGGCACAGTCTAATGTTCGTTTCAAAAACGCATTGGCAATGTCCTGCAAGCCGTAACTACATTACTATGCCAACAATATACGCGTTATTATCTATAATTTAATCAAATATAAAAGGTGTCCTATTTGTAACATTATTTCTGATAATACACACTGTTAAAATATTTTAGATTAAACTCACTCTATTTCGAGGGAATGAATTAAACATTAAAAGCGCCTCTGAAGTACAAAGTACTATCGATTTGATGTCGATCAAATAATGCAATCGAATCTTTTCTTAATCGCTCTTGTAAGATTTTTATAAACTCGTTTTTTGCCTAACATCATCCAATTTAATTGATTCAATTAGACACAACATGTTGCCAAAGGCATATTATATATCATTATTCTTGAGAGCGAATGTGGATCATGAAAATGAGTCTTGAGGGTAAATTCTGATACACACACACACACACACACACACACACACACACACACACACACAC